CGTAGAAAAGGCACAGTTGTGTGAAAAAAAAAAAATCTGTAGTCAAGATTTGATTCTGGAGGTATCCAGCTTAACTAAGGTGGAAGGATTAAAGCATGGGAGGAATTCAAATATAACTTTTTGAGTCATTTTTATTTTTGGCTGTCCATCACCCATAGAAGGCACATTTAATTTTTGAGGCCACCTAACAATGGGTACAGGGACTTAGAATGACCTATATTCCTGAGGAAAAAGTGTGAGTTCACTGTAACCAGTAACAGTAAACAGAAGTATGAGAATAGAAGTGTTTCTGTTATGCAGGTAACTGATGTAGAACAATCCCCATGGTAACGGTCATGTTTCTATGACATGCTTCTGGACTTCACATGCCTATACTGCTGTGTTTCTCAAATTTGATTTTCTGATTATGAATGAAATACTACTTTATACTATAAAACATCAAAAATTAAACAGAAACACACCCCTAGTTCCACTGAACATAGTTTAAATTTCACTTTATTTATTTTTCATAAATATTTCATATTCATATGAATAATTCATATCATAACTGAAGAGATGCTAGACAATTTTGTATCTCCTCATGCCATTTGCTTTCAGGGCAGACAATGGGAAGAGAGCAGATGATGCTCACTGGAAGTGTTTGTGTGTGCATGGTCTGAATGAATGAATGAATGAATGAATGGATGGATGGATGGATGGATAGATGAATGGATGGACGGACGGACGGACGGATGGATGGATGGATGCGATGGCCTAGACTTTTCCTACCTGTCTTCCTGACTCACTGACTTCTATCAGAATCATGTTGTCTTCCTTACCATTCAAATCACCGTTAGGTCAGTCTAGAACATGTGAATACTGGGTCCATTCTCATGGACCTGCAGCAGTTTGCTCTCAAGAGAAAATGGAGATGCTTTCCTTACACTGTAGTCCATGCCCCTTCCTTATAACGTAATGATTCATGAAAAACAAGAGGACCCTTTTCCCCTGATGACCTTGTAAGTTGATTAAAGACAAGAAAGTTGCATTGGGAAAAAAAAAAAGATTTAAGGAACACTTTAAGCATTGTGTGTGCTGCAGGCACCAGTAATGTTGACTTGCAAAAGACCAGAAAGATCCTTATGACTGTAAGGGAGGCATTACAAAGGAAACTTAAACTTACAAAAAATGCAAATGCATTGGCATACACTAGGGAAGGATATGCTAAAGAAAAGAAGGAATAAGACTGGAATAAAGGGCAGAAGAGGACTGAAAAAGCCTCACCCCCAAGGAATCACCATGCTCAGAACGTGAGATGACTCAGTGGGGAAAGGTGCTTGTGGCCAAGGATCAGTGTACTCGTGGGACCCACGCCGTGGAAGGAGAGAATGCGCTCCTGCAAGCTGTCCTGACTTTCACATGCATACCATGGCACATGAGCCACATGCACTGCGTGTGTATATTGCGTGAGTGTATGTGCATGCATGTGTGTGTATGCACATGCATGCAACTTTTGCCTCTTGCACTGTATGCCATAGAGTAGTTTCATATCCCAACACTTAATTCAAATGAGTCTGCTATTTTTCTGAGTCCCACAGCATGGTGGTGCCGTTTGGGCTCACGGGGATGTATCATCGGTCTACTGGGTCCATCTTTGCTTTTCTTAGCATCTGTGAAAACATTAAGTTTTGAAAATGGTTCAGATTGTATATGGTAAATACAAATACTAAAGCTGTATTTCATCTTCTATATGATAGAAAATACAGCTTATGAGTTAGTGTTGGCTATTGGAAAAGCAAACATGGTAACTTAAAATATGCTTCCAGAAAAGTGGCTGACCTCCAGAAATGCCCCAGTTCCCCTCACTCTTCTGTGACAAACAGTGTTTCATGCTAGTCACCTGAGCAACTCATGTCTACTTGAACAAGGAATAGATATCTAAGTAAATTCCCAGTTCAGGGTTAAGGAAAAACTCTAAAGAAGGAACTATCAGTATGAATGAAAAGGGGAAAAACGCTGCAGGAAATTTCTGCAGTGTATGTACAAGTACCATTGCGTGTGTTCAAGTGTAGAGAGAAGATGAAGAGCTAACATGGTGGTAAGAAAGCAGAGATGCTGTGTTACAGGTCAAGGTGGAGGCCTGTGGCATGCAGAGATGTGTGTTACAGGTCAAGGTGGAGACCTGCGGTGTGCAGAGATGTGTGTGTTTCAAGTCAAGGTGGAGGCCTGCAGTATGCAGATATGTGTGTTTCAGGTCAAGGTGGAGGCCTGCAGTTTGCAGAGATGTGTGTTTCAGGTCAAGGTGGAGGTCTGCGGTGTACAATTCCATCAGTCAATCTGGATAAGATGTTTCCAGACAGAGAAAATCCTCCTAGTCAGTGAAGAGAGCAGGAGTCCCAAACACTGCCAAGGAGAACCCGATAGAAGGAATGGAGAAAAAGGGGACTTGGGGAAGTCTGCTGTGAGACAACATGAGAGAGATGTGTGGGTTCTAACACTGCAGCAAAATCAAGAACAAAGCATGTTTTTCCTGGTTACCAGGAAGAAATACTGATAAGGGGTTGTGATGCGTTGTCTATGGGGATGGATGGATAGATAGATAGATAGATAGATAGATAGACAGACAGATACGTAGATGTTAGATATGTAGTAGACAGGTATAAGTATTCATCAGTAGAGGGTAGGAGTCCTGGAGTGATTATGAAATTATCAGAGCTGGGAAAGACAGCAAATGGAGGGGGCTGCTTGGGTAGAAAATTAATGAATCAAAGTTGTTAAAGAATAATATATATCTTAGTATTATTTAAATTAACATAAAGACAATGGAATATCTATGTATAATGTGTACCCTTTTCAGGAATCTGGTAGATACAAAGAAAGAGAAAGGTCACAAGTACATGGAAATATTCATTTGAAAGGATGAGGAAATCTGACAAAGACAGAAGTGAACTAAAGATAATCGGGGCAGGATAACAGCACATCACACACACACATATACACACACACACACACACACACACCCCACAGAACTGCTTAAGGAGAAAGGCCCATCGGCAACAATGCAGCCTTTTAAAAACGATAAAGGCTGCCTTTGCATTGGTATCACCAAGGGGTCCTGCAATCACAGGCTGAAACAGATGTGCACTTCAGGCAAGGTTCACGGTTGAATCCGAGGCTGTATCCAAGTCTAGCATGGCAGTAGTGACAATACACAATGTGGCTCAGGCCCTTTAGAGGTCATTGACTCTTTGTTAGATGTTCGGTGTTTGTTTCCTGCAGGTTTTAAAACATGTTCTCGATATTACCCTCCTGTCTCAATTACATATTTATGTATGTCAGTAGGTGGGGCAGTGCTAAAAGTGTTCTCATTACTAACTGTTACTACAGCAGTCTGTTCATAGGCAGAGAAGATGCTTTGGGCTCACTGTCTTCCCATGCCACATAGGAGTCCTTGAGTTAATGGCAGCTACACCCTCCCCCTCACCCCCCACCCCACCCAGAGCCCAGTCCTGTCTAAGGAAGGGAATCAGGGACGAAGACTATGTGGAGCCTTTTTGTCTCAACTGTTTTTCTCTGAAGTGTCTAACTTGCTCTACATGGTTTGAAAGGATTCCCAATGGGAAGCCTGATGGCTTAAAATGTCCATGAGTGTGTAGGGTGTGATTTCTGATGAGAGCAACAACATATGGCCCAGATTCCTCTCTGGAGTTATTACATATATCTTCCGCCATGGCGCTCTGGTCAAGGCAGGCAAGAGCCTCAGCCAGTATCCCTGTGAGGACCTTTTCCTGAGGTACAAATGATCGTGAGTATTGTGATTGTAACCTCCAAGCCCCCTTTGAATCGGCAAAGGTGAAAACAGGCTTTAATTTGGCAGAACCACAGGGAAGTATTCCAGTATGGTCTGACTTGTTCATCTCATATGAACATCTCGTACGGACTCTGAATAAGGAATGAGGTTTATGGAATCATCATAAAACCTCAGCCATCACAAAGACATATGTTTGCCTTATCCAGGAGCATCAATCCATGGAAGGCAGAGCTAACTGCAGACAGCAATGTTCAGGGTACAGACCATGGGACTCCATACAATCGTCACAGTTGTCTTTCAAGTCACTAGATTGTCCCACTTTTCCAAAGAAAACTAAGGCAGAAAATCAACATAAAGGCCTTTAGTCACTGACTTAGTAGCCATGCCAATAGTTGAAGCTAGTTCACCTAATATCAAACCAAACGTTCATTAAGTACAGGCTTTGATAACCGAGTATCAGTAACCCATTGAAAGCCTTCTTCTCTGAATTATATATGTATCTATTTATAGAAATAATACGCATAATTAAATGTGTTCGAAGCATAAAAAAGTTATTTGGTCACTACGCAAATCTTAAACCCTACCCTAAACTATAGACTCCTTTACAGTGGAATTTGGAGTTCATTTGTTTGCTTTTAATAGTTGTTAATAAACGGTCTTGTAGGAATGCCATGTTGTTCCCTGGGCTGTTTGCGTGGGTGGTTTAGAAGAGACGGTGAAAAAAATCCCAGCATTTAGGCACAGAGCCCTGCTGAACGTTCAGTCACGTGGGTGGGAGCACGGGACCCCACAGAGGGACCTGGGAGGTGCCACTGGCTGTGTTCGTTAGACATGTTTTAAAAAAAAAAACAAAAAAGGCCAATTTTCACTCCGTTTTATGGCCGACTGCTATGCCGGCATGGATTGTTTTTCTCCTGTTTAATTAGATTCATTAGGGCAAAAAGCTCTCTCATGCGCATGCCCTTGACTCCACTGTCTTGGTGGGAAGTGACCTCAAAGTCATTGATGAACGCATCTTCTAGTGTAAATAAGCACAGGCCACATACAGAGGACTCATTTAATTACGAGCACGCTTGTAGACCGTCGTAATGCATGGTGTGAACTTGATAGGGAAAAAATATAAGGGGAAGGGGCGGAGGTTGAGAACGCCGCAACACTCCATCGCCCGTTGTTTATCTTCTTATTTACTCGCTTGTTTTTGGTTTTCCAGGTGAAGACAGACGACAGAGTGGTGAAGATGGACCTGGGTTTACTCTTCCTCAGAGTGCGCAAATCCGACACTGGGACCTATTTTTGCCAGACAGTCGAGCATGGTTTTGTCCACACTGTGCGTAAAATCACGCTGGAGGTAGTGGAAGAGCAGAAGGTGGAGGGGATGTTTCACAAGGACCACGAGGAGGAGAGACATCATCCCAAGATGCCCTGCCCGCCTTTGAGCGGCGTGCCTCAGGGCACAAAACCCTGGTACAAGGAGTTCTTGCAGCTGATCGGCTACAGCAACTTCCAGAGAGTGGAAGAATACTGCGAAAAGGTGTGGTGTACAGATAAGAAGAGGAAAAAGCTTAAAATGTCTCCCTCCAAGTGGAAGTACGCCAACCCCCAGGAAAAGAGGCTCCGCTCCAAACCGGAGCACTACCGCCTGCCCAGGCACACGCTGGACTCCTGAGGGCACCCTCCGCCGGCTGCCGAGGGAGCCGAGCATGGGAAACCTTTAAAGGGAAGAGAAGAGCGACCGCATGCAAGCCTTTCCAGGACTTCCCAGAGCTTCCTGTAGTACCGAGAGGCGGGAACGCTGTATTAAGTTATTCTGCATACTCATCTTACTGTACAAACCGCTCACAGTGCTAGGACTCAAAACGAGTGTTTTGCTTTAAAAGCTTCACTTTGTATTTATCAACATCATGACCGTGGCTGTAATTTTGAGTTTGAGCTGCTTTTCAGGGAAATTATTTCACCATTGGAATATTTAATATAATTATAATATTAAAGAAAAAGTTATAGATTTTCATAATTAAGACAAATGTAAAACTAAACCAGCTTTAATCTTTCTGGGGTTTTCCTTGCCACCATAAGGTAAAATACACAGAATATCAGATACTTTAGGATTTTCCTGTGAACTTTTTTGCTCTGTTCTGATTTATTTTTTTAAGCCGTGAGTTTTAAGTAGTTGTGTTGTGATTGCTATAAACCAACCGTAAAAGCAACCTGTGACCCGCCGTTCTGTGGCTTGTTCTTTCTATGAGACATTCACTAAATTGTATTAAATATTTCTGTTTTGTAAACATGACATATCCTTTAAATTTCACTCCAGTTTGGAAAGAAGGAAGATAAACTCTCAGAAAAATATTTTCAAATGTCAAAACATGGCAGTCGAGGCTAATCAAAAGGTTTGTGCTACCCTCTTGTGGTAGAAGCAGGCATGGTCGCTTCTAGAGCTGTTTTGGTCATTACCCGGCAGAGATTTGAAAGATTTTATGAGCAGATACATCTAGCTCATTTTCAGAAAACGCAACTAAAAAGATAAAACCATAATACTTATATCATGGTTCAACATGGAAATAATATGCTTGTTGATAATTCATGACTTCACAATACAGTGAAGATATTAGCAGCATTTGAGCTTTTAAAACATAAAAGGCAAGCTTTTTGTCAACCGTTCCCCGAGATCCGCAATACTTTGGAAGTGTGCTTTCCTGAAAAGGAATTATCATAGCATTTTCCTCTCATTTTCTATAAACAAAAATTGCTTCTTAGATTAGTTTGACTACTGAGACCTTTAGAGAATTGTAATCCGTCTTATATTACAAAAACTGATATTTTCCAGACTGTTTATATCTTGAAATCATTTCTAATTGTGTTTTAAAGATTTATCAGCTACCTTTCTAAAATGAGCTTTATGAGACTTTTGTCTTGAATAAGAGTAAAGCAAGCACAGAGTTCATAAAATCAGTAAAGAACAGCCATTCAGACCTTGCATTGAAGTATTTCTGTTTGCTATCTCCGTGTGCCAGGCAATTGAGAAGATACGGTGCTGCCAACGTCTCACGGCTTTCTCTGTCACTCGAAGATGAGTATGACTCACAAATTACTTACAAAATACTCCACGGAGGTTCTTCAAGGCTGGAATCTATAAAACATATAAATAGAAAGTTTACGTCTTCTGAAAACTCCACATGTTATTGGCCCCAGAATCCACTGGGGGTCATTGTTGTCCACCAAAAGTAATTGAAAAAAAAACCATGCATTTGAATCATTAAAAAAAAAAAAACAACAACTATAGTTTAGGAACACAAGGAGGCAACAGGGAGAGAGGAAATTAAAACCATAAACACATCTCATGGTTCCTAAGGAACATATATGTCTGGAATATTCCAAGTGAATAGACAAATCCATGTGAGACACTTTGAAATAATTCTTTCTCTAAGCAAATTAAAGATAAGGAAAAGAGTTTCTCTTAGATCCATGTTAAATAATAAAGCAAAGCAGCTATGCACAAGTCTATTTTAATCTTAATGCACTGGTAGGTAATGCGGAAAATTATGACTCTGTGAGCTAAGAATTCAAACACTTTTTTTTACAATTTAATTATTAAATTCGCATGAAGACTATGTGACTAAACTAAGACGTTAATCAGAAACTAAAATTAAATAAAATGGCGGAGTTTATTCTGGGAAAAAAGTTCAATTCAAAGATAGTTTTAAAATATACTGATTTAAATGAAATTTGATAAAATGTTGAGGACTCGAGTCCAAAGTTAAGAACACTAAATTATATATAAATATATTTATATGTACTATATTCATGTATTACATATGCTTCTACGTACCTGTTTATAGTAGCAGCTTAAGACAACTAGTAACAGAGAGAGAGAGAGAGAGAGAGAGAGAGAGAGAGAGAGAGCGCAGTTCCCAAGGATGCAGCAGATGTACCACTCTATCTTTCTCTCTCCTGACCACCCTTGCTCATAGACTCACAGGTAGTATTAAGATAAATCACTAACCCCTCCCAAAGTTCAAACCAACAGAATACAATTCTGCTGAGTGTGTTTGAAAGTCTAAAGCCTGGCATAAGCATCACTACTAGCCTTTTGTTGGCCCAGAGGATAGAATTCAAAAAGACTTTGCTTAAGAAAGAATTCTATCAAAAGAAGCAATGACCTACCTCCCTTGAACTCAGGCAGGGTATCTAGAGGACTCCGCAAAAGGTGGTAAGAGCTCCCCTGGAGTCTCCCAGACATGACCTTGACAAAGACGTCCTCAAAACACACACAGCTGACCTAGGATTCTAACCTCCCATCCTTGTTCCAGAGGGGCCCTTTGTATGGTCAGTCTCCTGCTTCCCCAGAGCCCAGGGTACCGTAAAGTGAGTTGCCCGCTCCCTCAGCATAATGCTAGCTACTCAGCTGCAGATCCAGACACATCAAGAAGCCCACACTAAAAAGAGAAGTCATGACTTTAGGAGCCGTTTCCATGTCTAATGTTCTGCAGGGCTATCTTTCCCCCTTTGCATTAAATACTGAATATTTCAGAAAATTGCAACTTTGAGACAAGAAAGAAAAATAGAAATAAATCCTAATAAATCCGGAGCATGGGACTAAAAGTCTACATTGGTTTTGTGAGTTTCAATGGACAGAAAAATATGGGATCTATACTACATATTACACTAAGTGTCTTCCTTTCCACAATTGGCGAAGTCATGTGGGACGCTTTTACTGAGTACTTAGCAGTTGCCGTGGATTATAGGGTTTTGTAAATCTGCGTGGTAAGTATGAATATTTGTAAAATTTGTACCATATAACAAGTCACTTTGGATGTTAGTCTTAATCGTGAGAGAAACAGCAGTTATTGGCCTTAGAAATGATATTTTTGACCTGTGAAGCATGTGGGGTACTTAGTGCTATACAGATACATTACATCCCATGTAGACATCACACATCTGTGATTTAAAAAAAAAAAAAAAAAAAAAGGAGTCTCATGTTCCTTTTATATGTACTCCTCATTTTTTTTAGGACAATAATTGCTGATTTAAATCAGATAGAAATGCTATATTCTCCACAAAGTCTCTTTTGCTTGTAGTAGCATTATGTAATCTGGGATTTTGTTACTATTGTCTTGGGGAGACAGCTCTACACATTGGCTTTCATTATGCATGAAATGGCTTAGTTCTGAGCTAGAACACCATCCTGGAGTGTTTTTGTTTTGGGATCTCTTGTCTCTTCGGCAGAGTCTACAAAGCATGTGCCATATTGTTTCTTTCCCCTCACGCTGAGCTCTGAGACTCATCGTCGCCTGGTGACAGGCTGCCAGGGACCAGTGACTGTGTGTTGCCCTGAATGTCACATAGATCCACCACCCTACACTTCACAAAGTCTGTACTATTGAGTGGAATTTCTATTTGGTTCAGCTTAGATGAAAAAAGAAATAAATATTCTCCAAAATATTAAGTGCTATCCAAGAAGTATTTTCTATCTTTCTTCCTCCCTCCCTTTCCCCGTCGATCTCCCATCCCCTTTCCTGTATTCCCTTCCTTCATTCTTCTTCTTCCTTACTTCCCACCCTCCCTTCCTTCCTTTCCCAGATGAACACATCTCTTATATCTAACCTGATGTGAGCTCCATTGCTGAATTGACGGGCTTCCTTTAAGTTAGAGAAGAATTCAATGTTCCTTTGGAGAAATGGCCAATTTTTCCAAGGAGGAAAAATATCATTAATCCCCCTTTATAGCAAGTTTATTTACAGCATGCTAGGTTTCTGTGATGTTCGCGTGAAACTCAGTCTCATGTACACCTTCACAGTCAAGGTGTTTCATTATTATTCATTCTTCAACCTCCTACAGCATTCTATTACTAGGCTGGTCCTTGGTGACGGGGTTCTAGGAGTCTTCACGCCGAGCAGAGACCCGCAACCCAGAGGGGGCAAATCTGTGTTGCGTCTTGAACCCTGCCAGCTTAGGTGTATGTTTAAGGCACGTCCAAGACCCTGAAGGTCCTTGCAGCTATGAAACTCGCCAACCCTCACGTTCGGCTCTCCTAAACGAAGCACCCTCTCACAGGTGTGCCTGAAGTCTTGTCTCCAAGACAACTCTAGATCCTGCCAAGCTGACAATAAGAAAATGTTACCATCACACACCTGGTGGCTAAAACCGTCTTGAACCAAAAGAAAGACAAAAATAAAACACAAATTACTTAATTCAAAACATGCCACAAATCCAGAGGCTACAAAATTACATGACGTTGCCATCAAAACAGTCACATAGAACAAAAATTCATAATAGAGAGCCATAAAGTTTGGGTACACCACTCAGAGCACAAATTTTCAACAAAGGCATGAACAAAAGATAATCTTATAAATAAATGTGAATTTTTGGTTCCTACACACCAAAGCATGAAGGTAGACTCTTGCCATTTCCTGGGTGATGGAGACAGGGCCAGGGTTTATGTAGCCCAGTCTGGTTTTCTTCAAATGTTTGCTTTATCTTGGATTTCTTTTCTTTTTCTTGACATTCCTTAAGGGATTTATTGATTTCTTCTTTAAGGACCTTTAGCATCTTCATAAGGTAGGTTTTAAGGTTGTTTTCTTGTGTTTCAGCTGTGTTGGAATATTCAAGGCTTACTGTAGTGAGATAGCTGGGCTCTGTAGGTGACATATTTTCCTGGATGTTGTTTGTTTTCTTAT